TTGTGCTGCCACGTTTTCCCAGCAACCGCGTCTGCCTCTAACATTTCCTGTCGCGACGGTGGCGATGTGACCCTTGCTGCCATCTCTCTTCACTGATCAGTAATGCCTCTCCTCCCCTCCTCGTCAGCCGGCGCTGGACCGTGACCAGCTGGCCCTCACCTGGAGCTTCTTCAAACAAGGCCTGCTGAAGCAGTTGCTGACGGAGGGCGAGCGCTACCTGATGACCGCCTTCCACCTGCTCGACTTCTCCGAGCAGGGCCTGTACGACGTGGTGGCCAACCTGGGCAGCCTGGCGGCTCGCTTCCTCTTTCAGCCAGTCGAGGAGAACGCCTACGTCTACTTCTCGCGCACAGTGGAACGGGGAAAGGTAGGTGGCAACGTGGCTGATTGTGTGGTAGGAGGTGTTTGATGTTAGTTTTTTGTGTTATTTTTTTTTTTACTGAGGAGTAGTGGCATTTGGTGAAAATATCAGTAACGTTGACCACAGTGTGTCGATGCCCGGTGAGGCGCCGAAAAAGCTGTAAGCACACACTCCTCTGATATTAGCCAATTATACTCGTAGCTACTCTTCATCTCCGCTATAAGTCCTTACTGCCAGTCGTTGTGATCTTCATCTTGGTGTCTTTTTTGTCATTCGGTTTGTTTTGTTGCCCAGCTTCTATCCTTCTGGCCATCTCTCCCCTTCTCGCCAGTCACTGGAAGGGGACAGTTTGGCACCTCTCCTCCAGCCGGTGCCTGACAGCTCCCTCCCCCTCCAGCCGGTGTCTGCGGTGGCGGGCCGGGTGCTACACGACCTACTCCGCGCTATGAGTCTGACCCTACCCCCTCTCCCTGCAGCCGGTGTCTGCCGCGGCGGGCCGGGTTCTGCACGACCTGCTGCGCGCCATGAGCCTGCTCGGTCTGGTTGCCGTCACGTTCGGCTGGAGCTACTCCCACCTGCTGCTGCGGCTGTACGGAGGCGCCCTGCTGACCGCCGGTCCGGCCGTCAGTCTGCTGCGCGCCCAGTGCGCCTACGTGCTCCTACTGGCGGTGAACGGAGTGCTGGAGTGCTACACGTTCGCGGTGATGCGCCAGGAACAGATCAATGGGTAAGTGCCGTGGAGGGTTTATGGAAAGCAGTCGGGAAATGGTCGGTGGCTTAGTAAGGAGTGAGGTAAATTAGTCGGTAGAGGCTGAGCGGATTAGGAAATGACGTTCTCATGTTGGTTTTTGTTGTTAGACTGCCTTTTGCGGCTAAAGGCGAAGTGGAAAGGCTGGCCAGTCGTGTCGATAAAGTGAAGCTAGGAACGTTACTATCGGGCGCTTTGACAGGTGTTGTGGCGTTTTCCGGTGTTTCAGGTATAACCGGAAGATGGTGCTGCTATCTGTGATATTCGTCATCTCGACAGGGATCTTTACTAGGCTATTCGGCGGGGTTGGATTTATCCTCGCCAACTGCGTCAATATGCTGACCAGGATATACGTTTGGTGAGTTTTTGTGTTTTTGAATAGATTTGATTTGTCCTAATTGGTCTAATTATTTACATCATTATCCAATCTGTCATGGATAGTCAATATCACGCTTTATTCGCCGATCTCGATATACTTGGATCTCGTTACTTCACCCGTCTATCGACTGATACGAATGTCTGCTGTCCCCAATAGTGTCCTGTACCCCTCTCAATTATCATCCCGTCCCCTCCCCGTATGCTGCTGGTTCCCGATACAGTGTCCCGTGCCACTCTCAACCATCATGTCTTCGTCCCATTTTCTGCTGCTGCTGCCCGCTCGCCCCGTCCAGTGTGTTGCTGGCGCTTGATGCAGTGTCCCGTACCCCTTTCACCCTGTCCCCACCCCGTGTGTCGCTGATGCCCGATACAGTGTCCCGTACCTCTCTCACCCTGTCCCCGCCCCGTGTGTCGCCAGTTACCGGTTCGTGGCCGGCCTGCCGCTGGAGCCGGCGGTGTCCGTGCCGCCGCTGCTCGGTCTCCGCCCGCCGGCCGCCGTGGCTGCCGCGCTGGTGACCGCCGGCCTGCTCGCAGCCGGCTCCGAGAGCTGGCTGTACCCCAGCTCCGCCGCCGCCCATGTGGCTGTGGGCGCGCTCTGTGGGGCCGCCGTGGTGGCCGCGGCGGTGTACAGCGAGCCCCGCCTCCTCCAGGCGGTCAGGGAGCGGGTCGGGGATAAACTGAAGCGCAGCTAGCGGGGAGTGCTACTCACATGGTCACGCAGGGAATAGGGGTTGTTTTGTTGTGATATTTATGTGCATTTTGGGTTGAATATACACCGTGCCTGTCAGTAGAGTGGATCTATCAATTTTAAGACTGGTGCGACTGCAGGGGGCGTTGTGGCTATCGCCCATTTGAGAGCCGGACAGTGCTTGAAAGCAACTTCCTACCGATGAATTTTGGCATTCAGATCCTAATCTATATTACTATTTGAGGAGGGTGCGTCTGTCCGTTACCGAGGTCCCGACTTGGTGGTGCTTTGCGTGGACTACAGGCCAGACCGTTGCACCTAGCGCGCTGAAATTTGCACAACTTATAGATCAAGGATGCGCGACGTGCCTTTGAGGGGTCTCAGCTCGATCGGATTGATAGGGAGCGCGAGGCGCGTGCTCAAAAAGTGCAAATTCGCGTCATAGACTTTACATGTATAAATCGGCGTGCGAAATCGGGCGAAAACGGCTAATTTTGGCCGACACGGGTCCAGTTCCCGTGCAATATCTTGGTGACCAGGGGTCCGACCGGCACGGGGAAAACAGCATCGTGTACAGAATTGAACGGGCTATCGAATGGTGTGCGGTGCAGGGGATGGCACGCGCCACGTGCACCGGGGAGGGCACTTTTATTTGGAAAATTGACGTTTTGGACGGATTTGGGAATTTATATTATTTTCAGGTGACCGTCAGACGGAGCGAGTTGAATCAACTCCTATTTGCAAGAGAAAGGTACCGCCTCTCATATAAAAATTGTGAAAAGCTGATTGATCCAAATCAAGGTGGTGCAAATCACAGGAGAAAATGGTGTTTGTCAATTTTGTGCCACTTTATTAATCACACGGGGTTTGCTGCATAACCTGATACCTTTGGCAATTGAATATGGTACCATTGGATAGAGCATTCAATTCTGTCCAATATTCACTCTTCATTTTTGCATGATTAGCAACAGTATCCTTAAAAATGTAAATGTTCCAAACCATTACATCGTCATTTTTAGCGAAATTCATCGATGGCCCTCAAAAGACTTCACGCCAGTTTTCGAATCATCCTAAAGTAGAACGCATGGTAATACGACACGGGCACCTCGATGCGATGTATCTTTTTTATTACAAAATGCTTGGCCGTCAAAAAGCAATCGAAGGAAATGGATACCAACCAAATCGACACAGACCAACCCAATACCCACGGGTCAAACATAACCCTTCTTCGCGTTGCGGAGCACGCGGGTAACCCTAGTTATAGCCATTTGTGATGAACGATGGCGATGCAGAGGACGGCAGGGGAGGTGTGGGGATGGCACCTCCCTGGAGCTTATGGTAATTGCGGAAGCCCATTACCGTTTACCACCACTGCACAGCCAAAGTGGTAAGACCGGAGAGACGCGATCAGGTCGGATTGCCAGTTGTCGATTCCTCTATCGTTGTAGAGGTCGCTTGCAAAGTGAGATGACTGCTTTTCGTAGAGGGCGGTAAAATCGTGGCCGGTTAGCATCTGGTGGGGCTTGTAGGCTAATGATGGGCACGACCGGGTGCTGTATGCTATATGTGGTGACAGCGGCGTTCCTGAGCGTGGGGTGTATCTCTTGCTCTGAAGTCCAGAAGTCCTTATCGTTCTTGTGCATTCACTTTGTCAGTGCCTGATGTCAGTGTCAGTGTTTGTCAGTGTTTCATTCTGTAGCAGACATGCAGTCATATTTGGTTAAATAAAACCTTGCAGTCTGAGGCAGTCTTTTCATTACAGTACCTCATTACAGCGTCTCATTCATTACAGTTCAATATTTAGAAATGCAAGACATTACACATTAGGGCCGATCGGGCATAGAAATACAAAACAACAGTATACGCTCGCTGGCTATTATTCTGAGACTCAGCATTGAACCTGCCATCACTACAATACAGGAGGCGACAGGTGTAGAGGTGATGTCATACTCATTTATCAAGTTCTGCTGACTTGACCCACAAGTTGACTCCATTATAAATATTGTCTCTTTATCATGAAACAGACTCAGAAACCTTGGCATGAATGCTCTCAGGCTCTCAAGAGAATGTTGAAATTCAGGTCTCAAAAGATTAAAATTACAATAATGAAATGTTTCACCTACCTTCCATTGCCAAAAACACCCATACTGATACTGGTACTGGATGGAACTTAAAATAAAAAACAGGGGTGGATAATTAGGGGTTTGTAGCACCCCCTGGGTCCTGGGATTTTCAGAATTCTCCACCGCCGAATAAAAAGGTTAATCATCAAAATATTATCACAATCACCCAGCAACACACGGTATATACAGCAACACAGCCCAATACCACAGACAGCCAATAAACAAGCAGTGATGGAGGCGTGTTCAAAAAGTTAATATGCAGCTGTCGACACTAAATAGTCGGTGATTTTCCGTTAGAAATTTTGCGCAAACACCACCTGTATAAGCCTTCGAACAAAACAACCACAATTGAAACAAAAGCGCCAAAAAACTGGAATGTTTGTTTTTTTCGCTCGGGAAAGATATATACGCGCGCCGACGACGGATTTCACGTTGATAAAGAAGGGAGCTCAAGGTCAGCAAAATTCGGGTTCAAGGAATGGCGGGCGTTGAAATGACTGCTGACGTCATCAAAAAACCGCTAATGGTTAAGAGATAGGGACTAAGCTGGTCCCACCCTGCAAGTAAAGGGAAGAAATTTCTTGAACACCATAAAGCTGCGGGGTTTGCGACCAGGATAAATGGTGGTTTCTGAGCCTGGCCGCAAACTTGGCTATCTCAACTCAAAACTAATGTTAAGGTGGGATGGTCCCTTTAACCGACCAAATCAATCAAGTCACATTATGGTGGTGTTCGGCTCTCGCACTTCATCGGTGTCTTGCAAGCTCGCCCGCGTTTCTCGGTATCTCATTGGCGGAATTCACGTGGGTTACGCTGTTCACCAATAAGAGATCGAGAAACGTCAGCATTCAACCTCCATATATGGAAAACCGGTAGCACATAGATGAAAATGTCGACGAGACTGGACGAAACTGCGCTATGATTGCATTTATGTGGCAGCTACTTGTGTTTATTTTGCTACCAGATTCTGAAAGTTTTTTAGAGGAATCCTTTTATTGAAAAGTAGAAAACCTTCATTCCAACATTTCGCTTCAATCTTACATTATTGTTACGAGCGAGCGAGCGCAGCGAGCGAAGCGAGTCTTTTCAATATCACGGAAAAATCTCAGTATGAGCGGCCCGGCCCGGCCCGGCCCGGCCCGGCCTGTAACGCTTTTGAGAGGCTTATATCTCAGCAACCGCTGGACCGATTGGCCTGCGGTCTTTTTTTGCTGGGTAGCCCCATCCCTTCTCCCCGTAAATTGACTACTTTTGATACATCTCAGTGACCGCCGTGGCACGTGCCACGTGAAAAGTCAAGGGTGTTCAAGCTGTTTTGCAAAAGTAGTGATTTTGAGAGGCTCATATCTCAGCGGCCGCTTGGGCGATTGACTTGCGGTAATTTGTGTAGGGTAGCAGCATCCCTTCTACCAAAAATAGGATAAGGGAGAGTGGGGTGAGATGCCCAGGGTGGGAAAGACGCCCCACCCCCTTTGGCGGCGAAACAAAGAATCGAACCAGGAAATTAATGTTCTTAGCGTAAAGCGGAAGCCTGCCTTGTTAACTGCACAAAAATTTGCGAAGCTCAGCTGGGCAACAGCTGGCTGGTGATTGCATGTTTTTTTTTTGCTGCTTTCAAAAATATTTTGGTGTCATTGCATTGTAAATATCAAAGAAGGTAGATAATTTTTGCGTCCATTGCTATAGTCTCGTACATTAACATGCGTGTACTGTGTCCCAAACAGTTTGTTTCAGGGTGTAGTTTTATGGCTAACAAATTGTTAATGTTACTACTTACTTCGGTACCTTGGGGTAAGATGCCCCCCGCTGTCCTGATGGGGAAAGACGCCCCCCTAAATCCGTAGGCTGTCCTTCAAGCAGCCCGTCAAATCATTTGTTACATACTTTACTTGTGATGAGAGACAAAAGCCGATCTGGGACTATTGAGAGTCCAGTACGGTCGGGTGCTCCCCATGCCGGTCTCTCGGCCCACACAGCGACTTTTTGGGCGACATCTGACTCTGAGAGCCCTCACGACGGCCTCTGTGGGCCCCATTATTGGCTCCAGGGCCCCTCACGACAACCTTTGAGGGCTCCCACGTTGGCTCCACGGGCCGCGCTGCCATCTGAGGTCCCACGATGGACTCGAGGGCCCTCAAGCATCATGAAGACCTATAAGGGCCCCACAGTGGTCTCCGAACGCCACCACGGAGGCTTGTTTGGCCGCGCTGGACTATGATGGCCCTAACGATGACCTCTGAAGCCCCTATGTCCGTGAAGTTAGCGTCAGCAACAGCAACGAATACAGCGTCGGATTCAGAATCGCTTCAAAAACTGCCATCAGGTCAATTAGGGGACGGGGAACACGAATATGACATTTACTTTGCCCTAGCTCCCTTCCTTCATCCCTTAATCGTCCCTTAAAGGACGGGGCGCGTCAAAAGTGCCCCAAGGCTTCGTCTGATCGCCAAAATAATGGTCGCAATCGATTCCTCGATTCGATCGATTGCGACCATTATTTTGGCGAATCGATTCCTCGATTCGATCGATTGCGACCATTATTTTGGCGATCAGACGAAGCCTTGGGGCACTTTTGACGCGCCCCGTCCTCCCGCGACCGCCTGGGGGGTCGGATCCGACCCCCGCCTCCGTTTTTCTTAAATAACTCAAAAACCGCTAAAGCTATCAACTTGAAACTTGGCATACCTTCTCCCCCATCAATTTGACGTCTTCTGTGTAATTTTTAAGAAAAAATTTCCAAACATTTTTGAGATATATCGATTTTAGTGATGTAACTACACGGCGTTTTTGGTCAAAAAGTGGTAAATGTTTAAAAATCGCCAAAAATCAGGGTTTAAAGCAAATTGCAAATTAAGGACATAAAAAGACGCAGCTCAACGAGTTATTTAAAATGGCTATCTCGGATTTTCCTTAAAATGCGTTTTTCACCCCTAAAAATTCAAAAAACCACATTTTTTGGAAAACAGCTAATAAAATCCAAAATTTTGAGAATTTCCAAAAAACCGGAACATATGTTATAGAGCTCTATTAGAACATTAGATGTCCCAAATTTCAACTTTCTATCTTGATTTTTGACCCCCAAATTGTAAAAAATAGCTACAACATGCATAGGGCATGGTGACGTCATAAGCATTTTCGTGAATTAGAGGCACTTCTGAACATCGCATGTGAAAACAAATGGCACCACTAGATTCCTGGGACAAAGCTCGTCTAGAAAAGTGCATTTTTATGTCAAAAATAAAAAGTTGAAAAATTGACCTTTTTCTCAGCCCTCGTATGGTATAAACGATTTTTTATACTTTCAATGCACACTTATCACCAGCACAGTGACTTGGGGTCACATATAACCATTACCATCGGATTCGGCGTGGAAAATAAGCCATAAAACATGTGTCGCACGCCCATGTAGCAGAAAGTGAAAACCGTGACCTTTCGTGACCTGACCTGACCTTGACCCGTACTTAGTATGACCCCTAAACGCACATGGTACCTTCACTAGGCCTTTGAGGTCATTTGTGGTGAGTTTCGAGCAGCAGCTATCGATTCCGCTGTCCGTAAGCCTAATCATGCAAAACCCCAAAATTTGACCTTTGACCTGACCTTGACCCGAAAGTTGACCTCAATCTTAAAATCTTAGGAGTGCTTTGGGAAGGCCTCGTAGAGACCTTTCGAACGCCGCCTCGCGGGGCTCGATGCGGCCATTGGTTCTCGAGATAACAGGGGGGGGGGGGTCGGATCCGACCCCCCCAGGCTGTCGTGGGTACGGAAATAGCCCAGGCGGTGCCGGGTTAAGGGACGATTAAGGGATGAAGGAAGGGAGCTAGGGCAAAATAAATGTCATATTCGTGTTCCCCGTCCCCCAATTGACCTGATGGTAGTTTTTGAAGCGATTCTGAATCCGACGTTGTATTCGTTGCTGTTGCTGACGCTAACTTCACGGACATGAAGCTACGACTTCTTTTGAGGGCCCTTACGATGACGTTTGGTGTCTACTGCAGGCTCAAAGGAACTACTGATTCGTTCAGGCGATTCACGTGCCCATTTAAGTCACTTATAGTGCAGGGGGCATCTTTCCCAACGCCAGGGGGCGTCTTTCCCACCCTGTGGGGTAAGATGCCCCCTTTCACTTCTTCAGGAAAACGCTTAATAGCAAAAAAAGTTATCATATTTCAGGCACGAAAGTGTGATATTTTTGGTGAAAAATGATGTCGGCTTCCGTTGAAACTACAAGTTTTTGCTTTCCGATCGTCATTTTCGAATAATAGGTATATGACATAGTAAAACCTTGGGCATCTTTCCCCACTCTCCCCTACTCTCGATGCATGTGGGTCACCCCCAGTGCACGTGCAAAATACAACAATAAGAGGTGTCAAATTTGTTCCCATTTTAATAACTCGGTAATTAATGGGGCGATTTCGCTGAAACTTGGCATACAGGTAGGCACCCACCAGGCAATGCATTCTCATGTGTTGCGGTTAAGGTGCTACTGCACGTGCGCACGTGCAGGGGGCGCTTCCAGATCTTGAGAACGGCTGGGCCGATTGCGCTCAAATTTGGTACACGGTTGGGGACCAGTTAGTAGGGTGCCGGCGTGCAAAAGTCAGTTTGGACCCCGTTTGCACGTGCGCACGTGCAGAACGCCGCTTCCAGATCTCAGGAACGGCTGGGCCGATTGCGTTCAAATTTGGCACACCGCTAGCGACTGGCTAGAAGGGTGCTTTGCACAAGCCCGTTGGAAGTACCCTCTCGCCCTTCCGCACGTGCAGGGCTCACTATCTCGTTCGCTCGTTCTTCGCCCAAAAGGCGTTTTGCTGGTAGTAACTGGTTAGTAAGCACTAGCAGCACTAGGCGGCAGCAGGCGCGTAACCACCACTGGGGACACTGGGGACCGGTCCCCAGTAACTTTTGGGTTACTGGGGACCGTCCCCAGTAAAACCGATGACCTCCTCAGTTTGCTTAAATAGCCAAATATTGTCTCTAAATCGACGTGAAGAGTAATATGTAGTCAACGGAAGACAAAACAATGGATGTTTTGTTTAGCCAACGCTCGGGTGGGCCCCTCGGCCAATCTCGCCATGGGGGTTGGGGGCTTTTTGGCCACACCAGATTATCTCGGAAAGTAAGCAAGCTAGAAAGACGCGGTAAAAAGCAACAGAGAGCTCACTACAGTATCTTTTAAGAATTACATATGTCATGCCTTATCAGGTCATCGCTGAGGTCTCTGGAGGTCACTAAAGGTAAAATTTTCACGAACTTTTGTTCCCAATTTTGACAACTGTTCACACAAATCGGCGCATAAGTCAGGAACCAATAGAGATGCAGTGCTGCGGGAAAGCGCATTCGATAGCTGTTTCAAATGCTCTTAGCTTTGACCTAAGGTCAACGGCTTAGCTTCCAGGCTAGCGTTTCATTAATGCCGCATTTGCCGTTGTTGAAACTCGTTGGCTATTTTTCTGGCTGATATTTTTTCACGCCGGCGGATATTTTTCACCTGATTGGTGAAACTCGTCAGCGTTTTTTTATAGAAAAATTGCGCCAGGCGGCTATTTTTCTGTTGGTATAGCTGATCTCTGGTGACCTGACCATAGGTGACCTGGGGTAAAAATGTTCACAGACGATGCGAAATTGAGGTATCATAACCTATAGGTACCAAGTTTCGTGGCGGTGCTCTCCGCGGTTTTCCTTACACGCGCAAAAAACTGGCAGGTCTGGCCAAAAACGCCCCCCTCTCCCCCCCCTCAGGCGAATGCTGATCCTGAAATATAATATTTGGTCTTCGCGGCCCTCCATGTGGTCCCCAGTAACTTCAGACTCGTGGTTACGCGCCTGGGCGGCAGCAAAGCAGCTGGCAACCCAGCCCCCAGGTGGCAATGTAGGTAGCTATAGGGGATCAGCCGCAGCGCCAGAGGGTTTGTTAGCCACCGTCGGCTCAAGGCTGACGCAGCTTCGGGTTTTGTTTTTGTTTTGTTGGGTTAGGCCCTTTCGGTCCAATTAGACCATTTCAGAGCCGGAAGGATGATAGGAATTAGGGGGAGACATTGGTCTGGGCAGGCACCCTAGTGAGTCACCGGGGCTGAGCCCATCCCGAAGGACAGGCCGTCCAGACCCAAGGTACTCACTGCACCCGGCTACGGGGTGCGCTCCCTCGGGAGCAGCGGTGCCGCTCCAAGGGAGCAGCCCGCATGAGATAAAGTTGCCTGTCCAGCCCGGCGGGGGGTTGCGGCGTGGAGGAGAAGGATTTCTGCATCCTGAGGATAGAAGCATGGAACGGTTCAGCTTCGGGACTGAGAATGCCTGGTGATCGATTGATGAAACGGGCTCAGTCGGAAGTGGAACTCGGCCGGCCGACGGTTCATATTTGAAGTGAAGGCAAGGCCTTACACACAAGTATTACAGGAGGTAGAAACCCACCGTTCCAACATGTTATCTAGCGGGTGGCAAGTACCATCCCTAGTCGTCAAGATTGCCACCGTAGCTGTCAGCATTTGCCACCCTAGCTGCCTCCCACCTCACACACACTGCAGTCTGCAACTGGCGCCCTTCTGAGCATTGCCACCCCTTGTCTTTGACCACAGCAGACATTGACCAGTGGCCACAGACAATTCGTAGCTATTACGTGTCCTTAGTCAGATAGTAAGTAAATAGTAATGTCACGGTAAAAGACAGGTTAAAGTGAAACTCGCATACAGTCACACACGCATACCTACACACACACACACACATACAGACAAACGCCTCATCACTCTATCGCCGGAAAAATTACCTGGCGGCTCTTTTAAAACCCACCGGACCTAGTTCTAGAACATCTTCGCGCGATATTCAAATGAACGCTGTCCGGCTGCTGTTCGCATGAGTGGCGGGCGCAGGCGACGGTCCTGTCAGGTCCCCCGGTCACCATCCCGTGTCGAGTCACCCCTTCGGCCGCTGGCGCCTTTACCGGCTGATCCCCCCACCCAGCGACTGGCGTCTCCTAGAAGCTGGCGCACTTCTGGGCGGTGGTGTCTTTACCAAGTACATAAATACCTCCCTTCCGACTGCTGTCGTCCTCCTCCGGCCTCCCCCTCAACCAGGGCGTATTTTAACCCGCGCCCCGCTGGGCTATTCAGCCACACGCGCCCTGCTGGGGGGAGGGGGGGGGGCAGATTCTGCCCCCTGTCTAACGTCCGAACCGATGGTCGTAGAAAGACGGGAAAAACGGCAATCGAAAGCTCTCAACATGGCGGATCTTGAGAGCCCAATTTTTTTGCTTAAGTAGGTCAGAGGTCAGGGCAAGGTCAGGTCAAGGGTACAAAATGCAAGTTTCTACAGTATCGACCTTGCACCGTAGTTGCCGAAAAATGGACGGAGACTGATTGCCCAAAACGTGTTCCTAGGCTACCAAGACAATATTTGTTGCATAAAATATCATTCAAAGGTCAAGGTCAAGGTCAAGGTCAGGTCAGGGCAGGTCAGGTCACCAAATACAAAATATAGAAAAGGGCATGTGCGACGCATGTTTTATGGGTCATTTTATTCATAGAACTCAATAGGCACACTCAATAAGTGATATGGACCACATCTGGATGAATTTCAGGTCGAGGGCAGGTCAAGGTCGTCAAATGAGGTCAAATTTTGAAGTTGGTTGTTAAGGCCTAAAAAGGTGTCTATCTGATGCAGTTTTTCACGGCGAATCGAATGGTGCTATTTTTGTTTCCGTGCGAGGTCTATAACTTGCAATTTTTTTTTCAAAAATTGTGTGTGTCGTGACGTCATAAAAGTTTGAATAACTCCCACATTTTTGAACCGATTTTTCAAAAATTGGTAACCAAGAACGACGACCACCAAGAAACTCGAATTACGAATCGCTGACGGTTGAACGAACAAAGTGTCTACGAGTTTTAATCGCGTGTTTTATGGTGTTAAAGTTCAACGGGTGATATTGTCATGTTTTTAGGTTATCGGAATATCGGAACTTATTTTGTCTTTTCTTTGCTGAAGGTTTACATGCATACATTTTTTTAGTGCTTTGGACAGGCCCTGACGAAGGAAGATGGATGTCTTCCGAAAGCTACCATTACAAATAAATAAAGCTGGTGCTTGAACAATCTTTACAACGCAATATCACTGTCCCAGCTGAATAACTTCAACCTAACAAATTATAGGTGCCGATAACATCGTATACCTAATCACCAAGTTTTAAACCTCTTACAAACACTGCAGGCTGGACATGATTGCAAACTTTTTTAGGCCTGGTCAGTTAACTTGACCTGGTGACCTGACCTGACATGAACTGGGGTCAAAAATTTCACACATTGCATTGTCCAAAATTGATGTACAGAAAGATCCATGCGACAGGGTGGTAACATATGCCCCCCCCCACACACACACACACACACTGGGGCGAAGGTTAAGAATTTTGATCTCCGCTCACGCTCTCTCTCTCTCTCTCTCTCTCTCTCTCTCTCTCTCTCTCTCTCTCTCTCTCTCTCTTTCTCTCTCTTTCTCCCTCTCTCTCTCTCTCTCTCTCTCTCTCTCTCTCTCTCTCTCTCTCTCTCTCTCTCTCTCTCTCTCTCTCTCTCTCTCTCTCTCTCTCTCTCTCCAGTGACGCCTGACGGCCGCGGTCGTCCACAGTCGGCGCCTGCGGCTACCGCGCCGCGCCGGCTGTCCCGTTACGTCCGTGACGGAGACGGAGACCCACGGCCTGCTTTCGCCGCTCGGCGGAGCCGCCGCTCCCACACGCTGCGCGTCGCCCGTCGCTCCGCGGCGCAGTCGGCGCACACGTGTACACCATGAGACGCTGGCGGGTGCGCCTGCTGCGGCTGTGCCGTAACAAGGCCAAAGGGCCGCTGTTCACCGTGTTCGCTATGTGCTGTGTGCTGCTCACGCTGTCGATCGTGCAGAGCTGGCTGCAGGGGAGTCAACGATCCATCTCAGGTAAGATTGGCCCGGCGGCCGCACCGCCAGCCGACTGTAGGGCCCAGGGGAGTCACCGACCCGTCAGGTGAGGCCGGCCCGGCTGCCGCCAGTGCCGTCTGACCTAAAATTACTTGACCACTCGTCTGACCGACTCACAAGACCAACGGCCAACAAAACCTGTACTGATACCGTTTACATTACATGACCACATCCTATAACGTTATGCTATAGTCACTAGCAGAATGCAAGTTGTGAGACCTATGGAGGATACTAAGTCCTGTAAAGGCTGAAACAGACTCTTTCCCGCAGTCAGGAAATCGCATACAACCACTCCTGGTTGCCTGATCATGGGTAACGGACGATCTTAGAATGAGGGACATTCCAAGCCTACCTGTAAGTACCTATTTCTTGCTATTTCTTGTCCCTTGTTCCGTCCTTCCATCTTCAGGATAGTCAAATCCTTCTCCCCCACACCTCAGCCCCCTGTGGGCTGGACGGTCACCTTTATCCCATACGGGCAGCTCCCCCCAGGAGCAGGCCCGTAGCCGGGTTCGGTGACCGTTAGCGGGGCTGGGTGGCCTGTCCACGCGATTGGCTATAGCCTCGGCGGAGCACCATTGGGCCAACCCAGACCAATGTCTCCCCTAATTCACATAATCCTTTCGCCTCTGCAAATGTCTCGTTAGACCGAAAGAGCCAAACCGAACAAAACAAAGAAACGGATTTGTCGTCATCAAACATATTGTCGAAACACTATATATCCACTGGTTATCCAAAAAGTTTGGCAAAATCCGTTTTTCTACGGTTTGCGCCTTTACCGCCGATACCTATGAACGCCAGAACGGTGATCTTTTTGACATAGGTAGAAAGCACTAATTGGCACTCGAATCATTCACAAAGGCTGCCATGACACATGAATGACCTCGCTGACGGCATCTTTTGGATGACCCTGGGTCAGTCGCAGACATGGAGGTCACCAAACGGGTCGCGCACCCAGAGAATAATGCGCTGATGCGCTGTTGGATAACTAAACACCCGTGTGACCCAACAAGGATGTTCATCTAACACTTTAAAGTCAACTACACTGCTTTCTTTTGGTCGTGACGTCGCTTTTTCAAAAGAGATTCTTGACCAATAAAGGGCGCTTTGGTCGGCCATGCACCGTATCCCGTGTCTCTAAGATCGTTTGCGCCAAAGCTGCAGGTAGCAATGGATAACGCGTGAAGAGATTGGCACTGACTCTGAAGAAAAAATGTTGCCCGACGCGTGAGCCAGGTATATTACGCCTCATGACGCCTGTAAATCAATTTCGGTCATACAGAAGGCAAAAACAGCCAAAATTAAGCGAATAACAGAATATCAAAAGTGAAACGTATTACTATGGGTCACACAAATGGAGCTACGACAAATTAAAACTTATGGTTTAAAAAAAGAAATGGTTTTAAGAGTCTGTCTTTAACCCGCGCACCGACAGGGGTCTGCGCCAACTTACAACCGACGGTGGGAGGGCGTATGACCGCCCCCCTGAAATCTCGAAAACGAAGCAAGATAGCGACGAGCGGTAAATGGCATGGGGTATGCACGGACAAGCTCTACAATTTTTACAAAGGTCATTTTCAGGTCAGGTCAAAGATGACGTCACAGGGGTCAAAAAAGTCAAAATGGCGGCGCTAGATATGGATAGAGTTTTTCTCGAATAACGTTCGACTTCGTCAAGCTAGGAACAAACTAAGGGCACCATCGTGATCCTCTCGTCAATCCGCATCGAATCATATATATGTTGACCTCGAAAGGTGAAGGTCAAAGATTGACCTCAGGTCACGTGACCTCGATGTCATCGTGTATATCATTCGATGCGCCTTGATGAGCTGAACGTAATGAGACCATTCGCGCGGCTGCATCTCGTTCCTGTGAGGAGTTATTGGCAGAAAAACCTTTGGTGACCTTTGATGACGTCACATGATCTTACAGCTGCCCAACAGCAAAACAGACCTCAAGGTAGTGAGTTGATCGTATATGAAGTCATGTATGGTTTATGGGGCCATTCCGACCCGTTTTAATGGTAAAAACAGGGAGTTGATTTTTCTCCCATTGACTTATAATGGGGAGGTCGAGAAATTGACCTGACCTTATGTCATCGATATCAAAATTCCGAGATAAACAAATTAAAGCTATCAATGACCTAATAACATCCTGTGACTTTCAAGGGCCTCCGTCATCTACTGTAGCTCTGACACGGTAACAAAGTTGCAAAAAAGTGACTTGAGATTGGGTCATTCAAAGTGACCTGGTGACATGACCTTAAAAGTTAGGAGATTCAAACTTGCACATCACGTGTAAAATTAATGAGAGAATAGTCATCGCCGCGGTTTTCGGGCTATTAACGAAAAACCTCAGGGGCGGCGGATAACGGCCCCCCCCCCCCCCCCGCCGTCGTCGGTGCGCGGGCCGTTATTGCGCAACAAGTGCCGCACTTTCAGCTGCCTAACTATTGCGTCCAAATAAAGTGGCTAGGAACAGTGGAGATCTCAAAAAGTAAACAAAAGTAAAAGCCTTATATCTTCAAAACCGGTGAATATTTTTCGGTGGAGTTTGGTAGATATTCGTTTTCGCTCTTTCTAAACCAAGCAACATCAAGTTCATGTCAATTCATTTTTCGAAGGTGGGGAAGAGTCCCTTTAACGACTAGCGATTAGCGATTAACGATTTTATGGCGATTGTAAAGTATCTAACAATTAACGAAGGTCTTTGCTGCATTTGTGCTTTCAACATTTCTACTTTAATCAACATCCAAATGGTAGTATCATGAAATGCTCATTGGTCGACGATGTGTGAGTACCTACTCGTGTAGTTTGGACCGTTATAGCCAATGAACCATGGAGACGGTAGTGATTACTGTGATACACATGGTTTGTTACGGTCTGACAGACATGGGACACCGTCAGTCGCCATGTCAGGCGGCGCGCGGAGCTGGAGGCCTCTACTTCACCTCATATGAAGGCGTCACATGTCTGTGGCACCTTTACGCTGTGGAAGGTACAGCACGTCAGTCACACCACAAATTGTGGGATAATAGCCCGCCGCTTCCGGTAACAAAATAAGTCAAACTATCAAAAACACCAAACTTCCAGACCGTATTTCGAGTGATTTTTTTCCGGGAATGGGACAATAAGGTGCTAAAACGCTTTGGAATTTATACACACCTACATATTTCCAGGTTTAACAAAGCCCCACTGGACCCACGGTTGTTAATCCCATAGAGAGTCAGAGATTCAGATCACCAATCCTCAGTGTCACTGTCATACAGACAGCTACCGATTCCCTCACGCCACCGCCAGACGGCTCGTCGCTCCGTGGGTTTCGGCTCATGGTGGTTCGTGGTTCGTGGCGGTGGTCCCTGCCCCCTGGTGCATTATCAGCGATTTGTGGCATGTTGTTTCGGTGGTCCGTGGTCCTTGATCCGTGGTGTGTGGTCCGTAGTTTAATGGATTCTCGGGCTAGTTAATTTAGCTGAAATCATTTCATTTAGGCACAAGTAAAAACATTCGGGCGGTTCTGTGTTTCACACTATACCCTTTCAAGTCTTTCGTAGGTATACAGAGCACATATGTATGTCACAAGGATATAGGTGGTACGTCATGTGTGATGTAAACGGATACATAAATCTGCATTCAGTGTCTCACGGTCTAACGCCGTTGGCCTGAATCCTATATACTGTCTACACTCGGTCTGTGTCTCTTGGTCCGTGTCCAGTTCCGTCGCGGTACGCTCGGTCGGCCGCGGAACGGGAGTGGGTCACCGACCGCACCTGGCACCGCCACTGCCGCTGCGCTAGTCGCGCTGCCGCCGCCTCTGCACGACAGCGCCCCCGGCCGCGGATAGCACCGTGCACTGACCGCGACCACAGCGAACCTCACGCCCTTGCTGCACGAGCGGAAAGGGGTCACCGTGCCGCCGCTTGCCACGCAGAGCCACAATCCGGCACGTATGCCCACTGCCCGGTGTATGTAGTGCCGTGTCCATACCTTATACCGTCCCGTACTTCGAGATGTGAACAGAGTGGCGCGGTTGGAGACGGACACGGGACATTACCCACACTGATGTTTCATAGCCATTTATTAGGCCATTTTGTAGCTACATATCCCATGTCATATAGTTATATGGCCAGCATATTTTATGTTTTTAGGATATCGTGGCCCACTAACGTTTATTGCAATGAATTGTTTTACATACAATCTTCTCGGTGTGATGCAATTCACCATGGGAACCTCGTTATGCAGCCTTGGTCTTAAGTCATGCTGCTACCTTATAAAGCATTAGCATGACTTTACATCAGAGCTGTATGACTTTGCCGCGGTTATACCCGGTAAAGCATGACGGGGCGACGGGGCTATCGAATTCGATTCGCGCACATTGCTGATTTAATGAGAGCGCTAGTCGCTCATCACTAAGCGTTACGCAAGTTGCAAGTAATGGTTACCCACATGTAATTGACAGCCAAATATGCTTCTTGGAATCAGCTCTGGATACCTATACATTTTTCATAAGCTGCGCCCAGGTGTGGGTCTCAGCCAGCTTTGCTATGGTGGGAGTTGGGTGGGAGTAATGTTGGTCAACATTTTGGTCACACTTGGTTCTCTACAAAAAAGAGCTACGGGAAATAGACGTAGAAAACAATAGATAGGTAATTCCCTATAGCCCGTGTCTAATTATGTATGTCATAAAAGTACCGCGCAAAGAGACGGTGAATCCATCAAGCCTGACTAGGAAGGGCCTGCTCTAATTTGAAAGTCACCGGACCAATTGACCTGGGGAGTGGACGAGGACGTCAATTACATCGGTGACTCAAATTTAGCAGGCCATTGGCCTTGGTCAGGCTTGATGGATTCACCGTTACTTTGCGCGGTACTTTTAAGACAGACTGTATGTACAGTCTGTCTTAAAAGTACCGCGCAAAGTGACGGTGGATCCATCGAGCCTGACCGAGGAAGGGCCTGCTAAATTTGGGTCACCGAAGCAATTGACATCCTCGTCCATTCCCTATAAGGGCTGACGGCTGACCTTTAGGTACATGACTAGACCTAAAATTCATTCAGATAGGGGAAGCGGGGGGAGCACCGCCACCTTAAGCATTTCTGCTCACCGAGCTGATATGCGTAGTAAAAACGAAGCTCTTTTGCATTCATGTGAAAGAAGGAATGTTTTCCTACATGTTGGCATAGCTTCCAGCGCTCCATTATAAAATTTCGCTACTTTACAGACGTCGAAAACAAGTCCTGCATTTTTCGTCCTCCAAAAAATGTGCGGGTAGCACCGCCACTGATGGCGATGTTATCCACAGATCGGCCTTACGGTGACAGCCACCCTTGGAAGCGTTACTGCTGTCTGAAATAGTAACTCAAACTCATATAAGACACACAAGAGTTGGATGTTAGTTTGTCACAGATCAGACTGTTTGTTGCGGACAATATGCATACAAAGCATGACAAATTCGCGTTTATTTCGAAACATCCAGTGAAGTCAAACGTGAGGTTAAAAAACAGACGACGTTTGCGGCCTAACTAAAGCTCTTCTCCGAGCTGAGTGAATCATCATTGCGGCTTTATCCATTTTGCCACCCCTTGGGGTAGCACCGCCGAGCATGGCGGTGTTACCCCACTCACAGTCATGGACCGACAACGCCCCGACAGCAAAACAAGCCGGGACGCGATTCTTCTGTAATTCCTTTCTCAACAAAGAGCACTTCATGCCCTCAAATTTAACGTAAAAATCAAAGCATTTTGACTTGAAATGACCACTTACTTGCTGCTCAAACATGCCAAATGATTACAACGATGGTTTGAAATTCATAAAATGGGCAACTGCGATCTCAAAATCAAATAAATCTTAGCGAAACCTACCTCACGCGGCGTCCCGTTTCCGTTCGGACACCGAAATGGCGGGTGTTTACATTTACAATTCAGAGTTTTGCCGATAGAGAGGATGGCGGTGTTTCCCACATGGCGGTGCTACCCCCGCTTCCCCTATGTTTCATATCACTAATTGAGTATGCAAATTGCATTGTGTGAATAAAATGGCCCTTAAAACATGTTTCGCTCATATGCTATTCTATTTTTCGTCTTTGGTGACCTAACCTTGATCTCGATCTTTGCATGACATCCTATGCAACGCATCTTGTCTTGGTAGCCTAAGAACACGCTTTGGGTAATCAATCTTAGTCCGTTATTGGCCAACTGCGCTCCCAAACCGACAATGTAGAAACGTGCAGTTTTTACTCTTGACCTTATCCTTGCCTGACCTTTAGCCTAGTTGTGCAAAAAGGTCCATCGTGTTGAGTACTTTCCATTGCCGTTTTTCGTCTTTCTACGCCCATCCATTCGGAAATAAGACAGGAGGCAGAATCCGACCCCCAGCGGGGTGCGTGCCGCGTATTGACTGAAAAGTCTAGCGGGGCGCGAATGGTTACTGTGGAAAAACTGCTTGTGACCCTTTACGGCCTAACTTGACCCTTCAAACTTGAAATTTGTTGATGGTCATTGGTCACTAGCTGCATCGAGCGTAGGTAACGGATGTCAAAAACAAGACATACGAATGACCAGTGGAAGTCTCAGCCTCCCAGTGACGGTCTCTCCGGTTTGCAGACTCGGAGGCGCTTCAGTCCCTCTCAGATATGGCCGAGCTGCTGGAGGAGGGCGCCGGCCGTCCCGACCTGGCCGACCAGCTGCGCAACGATATCGCCGCCGACACCGGGCTCGAACCGCCCGAGGACGACGGCGAGAACGAACGAGAAGTCATGGAGTTCGAGGATGGTGTGAGCCAGGTTCGTTCTTAGAACGTGCTGTGAAAAGAAATTGGTCTTCGAGCCCCATGTCGGTGACCATCTGGAGGCTAAACGGTTGACCTGAGGTCAAATCTGAGTGGACTCCAGAAAGGGGGTTAAAAGGGTTATCACATGCGCTTTCCCGCGGCGCTGTAGCTCATTGGTTTCCGAGTTATGTGCCGCTGTTTCGGAAAATGTTGAAATAGGCAGCATTTGACCTTTGATGACCTCTGGTGACCTGATGATTAATCTGACTTAAAAAATGAAAAAGCGTTTTCGTCCTTATTTTGGACGTTCTTTTGAATGCCGCTTACCGGTTGTCGCCACGTGGTCCAGGAGCCAAGTTAGAGGAGATGCTGAAATACTCCCCCCCCCCTCCCAACAGTGCGTGGAACCCCAGCGGTGCGCGGGTTATAACAAAGCGAGCAAGGTTTTAATAAGTGTTACAATAGCCGTTTTCACGACGGCCATCTGGTACACATTTGGTGCGCTTCTGGTGCAGATCACAAGGGCGGATCTAGGGGGTCGTTTTGGGGGGGGTCACCAGTCGGCCGACATACCAGGTCTGGTGAATGAATTCTGACGACCGGGGGGGGGGGGGTAGGGAGCGAGTATGTCGAGATCAAAAAATGACATTTGATCTTCGTCGTTTATAAGATGAAGTTTTATCGTAAGTCACTCGGCTCAGTAGTTTTAGTTAGTGAAACCCACCTATATAGGAGCGTCGCCACGGATTTTTTACTGGGGGGGGGGGAGGCGGGTCGACCGACTTAAAAACCCAGAAGTAGATATAGTTACCTCACTTTTAGCCTAATGCATTAGTAAATAGTAGCATACAGTCACGATCTCTCTTATTGACCTGTGTATGAATCGGCGGCGCGAAGCGCCGCAAAAATTTGCAAAAAAAAGTTGTCAAAACACAGCTCTAAAACACAAATATTACAACCTTTTTAGCATGCTAGTACAAGCCGGAGTTCCTTCACAGTACACATATGAATTCCGATTCAATTTGACACGGTTGGTGTTATTACAGTCACTGTTATTTCTCTCTTATTGATTGGTGTATAAATCGGCGGCGCGAAGCGCCGAGAAAATTTGCAAAAGAATGTGTCGAAACACAGCTCCAAAACACAAATTTTACCACCCTTTTAGCATTGCAGTACAAGCCGGAGTTCCTTTACAGCACACATATGAATTCTGATTCAATTTGACACGGTTGGTTTATGTAATTACAGTCAAGATTTCGTATTGACCTGTACGTATGTACATAAATCGGCGGCGCGAAGCGCCGCGAAAAATTTGCAAAAACATTTGTCAAAACACAGAGGGGGCCTCCTCTCTACAGAGGACCACCGATCTCTACTGCGGGCCTCCTCTTTTCACAGGGCCTCTTAACTACAGAAGCTACAGGGCCTCCTCTCTACAGAGGGCTTCCTCTCTACTGAGGGTCTCTCCCTTTAAGAGGGCTTCCTTTACAGAGGGCCTCCTCTCTTCAAAGAGCCAGAGGACCTCATCTCTGCAAAGGGCCTCCTCTCTTCAGAGGGCCTCTTCTCTACAGAGGGCCTCCTTTCTTCAGAGGGCCTCTTCTCTACAGCGGGTCTCCACTCTTCAGAGGGCCTTCTGCATTCAGGCGGTCTCCTTTCCACAGAGGGCCTCCTCTCTACACAGGGCCTCCTCTCTACATAGAGCCTTCTCTCTACAGCAGGTCTCCTCTCTACAGAGGGCCTCCTCTTTAAAGGGGTCTCCTCTCTACAGGGGGCCTCCTCTCTACTGAGGGCCTCCTTTCTACAGAGGACCTCCTCTACAGAGGGCCTCCTACCTACTGAGGAGTCAGAGGGGCCCTAGCGGTCAGACACAGACACTAGCGGTTATTCACTGGAGGCCCCAGGAAGTAAGAAGGGCCCTAGCTGTCAGGCTGGTCAGAGGGCCCTGAATGTCCTGACGTGATTTTTGGGATTCCCGTGAATTTCTTTCGCCTCAGACGTGATTTTGACCTGCCAGGGCCCAGGGGCACTAAAAATAAAACAAACAAAATAAAAAATGAAAATAGGACATCACCAAAATTAAGTGACCGAAATCCGTTGAGTTTTTAATTTTGCGTATAGGTAGGGGCACCACGAATTAAATTCATGACCATCCCCTTGGAGTTTTCCTGGATCATCCCCTGGTGCTCGCACGGTTGAGACAAAAACGAGTAAGATTCTGGTCTTCAATACGCCTTTTCACGCAACACGATCCAGAAAAACAAAGGTATTAGCTCAGAAGTGTTTGACAGGTGATTTTGAGCATGCAAGACGGCGTCTATAGCGCATTTAGGTCTTCGGCTTTTGGGGGGGGTCAAATGACCCTCTCAGACCTTTTGGGGGGGGTCATGACCCCGTGGACCCCCCCCAGGATCCGCCAGTGGCAGATCAGGTGCAGATTTGGTCAAATCAGGTTCAGTGTGTCTCTTAGTAGCTATCAGCTAGAGTTGCACTATTTGCTTATATGCCTGCTTTGTCACATTATCAGAGAGTATCATCGATTAAAACACTGAAATAAATTCATAGAATAAAGAGATTTGCTGTAAAAGAGATTAGGTGCAGATTTGGTCAAATCAGGTGCACTCGCCGGATAGCCCGTCGTGAAAACGGCTAATGTAGACTTTAAAGAGAAAAAAAGATATCGCACGAAGTGTTTACTAAAATCCCCAATAATTATCGCCTTTTTTCAACACACGACAGGCGAACATCAGCAAGTCATCGAGAGACCCGGAGGCCGACATCGACCGGGATCTCAGCTGCACCACCCACATCATGTTCCTGGCCGACAGTCAGCTCGGCAACTTCATGGTCAAATACGCGGTGCTCTACGGATTCCAGCGGAAATACAGCGCCAAAGTCTACCTTTTCCCAAAACAATACCGATTCGCAAATAAAATATTCAAGAAGCTCTCCATCGATGTCGTACCAGGTATGTGCCATGCGTTGCATGGTGGAAGGATGCTATTGCCTTCAGTTCGAGCGTACGCGGCGTCAAAATTAATTGTGCCGTTTGCATTGTCAAAGGCGCACTGTTATATTTCTGCTCAGTCCAAATGCTATTTATCGTTCAGTCAGCTAAACACAAAGTTTTGAGAATACATCATATATAGGTACCATTAGACCCGCTCTAATTGAAACCCTAAGCGTGCATTGCTTGCATTTCGTAATTAATTAGATATCGAGGCGAACACGTTCATCAGATGTTTCCGTACTATTTGTAATGCATTTTATTGGATATTATTGGTAATGTATTTTATTTGCTTCATAAAATAATAAATCCAGCTTTTGCTACATAGCATTAGCGTTTGTTGAGCTCCGGGCATCTGCATGCTTATATGCAACTCATGTTATCGGGAGACATCGAATCTATACAGCCTTGCGTTTAAGCGGCCTTGTTCCGAACAATGCTATTGAAACGTGCCCGCTATCTGCTCATTCAGCTGCTCTGACCAGTAGTGTGTTCTGTCTGTCAGATGAGCTAAAGACGGCCGACTGGAGGCCGGTCAGCTACGAGGACATCATGTACATGCTGCCCTGCAACAAATACGTCACAGAAGAGGAGTTCTTCATCGTGACTGGTAACGAACGATCCCGCCTCCCGTAAAGAACGCTGCAAACTTAGCAACTCAATCAGCCCAGAGCAATCTAATCACCGATTAGCTCAAACTGCGTGTTTTGGCTCTCCATCATTCATTCACTGAATGAATGACAGTCGCTTATCATTCTGCAGATGACTGCAACCGCATGTGTAATGTATGTAACAAAGGGATAATAGTTCCATTCTTTAACTTAACGGCTATTTTGTGACTCTTATAGTGGCGTGTGGACATTCTAACAGTTAAAGTCTGTTTTATTTTTAGACTGGCCGGCGGACAACGGTCTTCAGCTCTATTCCCAATACGTGGACGAACTCCGAAAAGACTTCGAGTTCACACCTGCATTTAGAACTAGGGTACGTATTAGTGATGTCAATTATAGAAAATCGGAATACCGATACCAAACCAAATACCAACCAAAACCGTGAGAAAATACCGAAACCGAACCAGCCCAGGAACATGAGGCAAATACCAAATTTATACCAATTTATCAGCCTCATATATTAGTATGGGTTCATAATACCAACAAAATACCAAATATAGGGGGATTGAAATACCAAATACCAAGTTGGTATCGGTTTGGTATCGGTATACCAAAATGTTGGTATCCGATTGACATCTCTAGTACGTATGGTCATCATTGATTGGCAATTAGCATGGATAACTTCTGTTTTCACAAGGTGATAGAGGCCTATTGTCTGACTAAGTGCTAGACATTCCTAAATCCTAACCCAAATTCAGCACTGGCAATTTAGCTTCGTTCTTGTTAAGCGGGGAGTGTCATGAATGCAGTGATATCGTAATATTCTTGAGCGTTGCTCTAACTTTAAGGGACGCTCCATGGTGATCGTGGGCGTTGGATTACAAACAATAATTAGAAGACAAATGAACATGACTATGCATTATCACACGAAGCATCCACTGTGTCGTCATAACTAAGATTCCTCGCTTTGCGTTACAACGCTTTGTGTACTTATTTTAGGCTCGGAGGTACACCGAACGCTTCCGTGCCTCGCCCAACACGACGCTGGTTGGCATCCACGTCAGGCGGGGAGACCATATTCTGCACACATGGGTAAGCTACAACGGTGAACTGAATAATTCACTCTTCCCCAATGCTATGCTCATACGGTTATACTTACGTGAGTTACGTGGATATGGAGAGGCATCGCGATTTATTTACCTTGCGAAGTTATGTTATTAGATATTTGCGTTGCTTTGAGTGAGCCTATGAGCAGCAATGAATCGATAAAAAGATATGTAGGTAGACTAATTTACAGAAATGCTCTTTTGTGGTATCTCAGTACAAAATTTAAACATTCATTAGCGCAGCACCACTAGCAAGCCGTCTAAAGTCGGATGTGATTTAACATCTCCCCTGACAAACTGCGGTATTTGTTCGACAGTTGCGTCACCAGCGGAAGGTTCCCGACCTGGACTACTTCAACAAGTCCATGCAATATTACGCCGCCATGTTTCCCGACGTCCGCTTCGTGGCCTGTTCAGATGACAGGCGGTTTCTGCTGAACAAGCTGGTGCCCAACGCGCCCTTCCCCATCTATACAATCGGTGAGTGGGAACTGACACTGACAGTCTGACAGTCTGACAGTCTACCGGGTCGATTACCGAAAAAGTAGCTCAGTGTTTTATAGCCATGTGTCCCAGCTGAGTGTAACTCATTTCAATGCTTAGCTATTGCAATTTGCATGTCCCAACCATGAGACATTGTCATTCCTATAATATTGCGCTTATTTAAATTTATGATTTCTATATCCCATATTTGCTTAAAACATGGACTTTATAAGTCCTTTGGGCTTTGTACCTCGGTACAAAGGACGGTCAGCCGCCGCGGCTGACCGTCCCTAGAAACAATATCCCCACCCACAAAAAATAGCTCCGGTCGAAACTACCTACTTAGTTGTGTCGGGTAGTGGTGACCGTCCAGCCCGGAACAGGGGATCGTCACCTGTCCGTGCTTCTATCCTCAGGATACTGAAATCCTTCTCCTCCACGCCACAGCCCCCTTCCGGGCTGGGCAGGCAACTTTATCTCATGCGGGCTGCTCCCTTGGAGCGGCACCGCTGCTCCCGAGGGAGCGCACCCCGTAGCCGGGTGCAGTGAGTGCCTTGGGGCTGGGTGGCCTGTCCTCTGGACGGGCTCAGCCCCGGCGACTCACTAGGGTGCCTGCCCAGACCAATGTCTCCCCCTAATTCCTATCATCCTTCCGGCTCTGCAATGGTCTTGTCGACCGAAAGGGCCTAACCCAACAAAACAAAAAACAAAAACAGGGGATCGTTTTGTGTTGGTCCTGAGGTCAGATAAAAGGAATCGGAGGTTCTCTATTCCGTATTCCCTGGGAGTTTTGAATCAGGATTATATTCGCTCTGGAGTCTGGCTTATAAAATAACCTGAGCCTTCTGACGACTTTTACTCCAGCCCAGCGGCCCAGTGTGAACTGCCCTCTACCGTCCCAAGTGCAGTGTGATCTGACCTCTACCGGCCGCCCGCCGGAGTGTGGTGAGAGCTGACCTCAGTCAGCCCCAGTGCGGTGTGAACTGACCTCAGCCAGCCCCAGTGCGGTGTCAGCTGACCTCCGCCCGCCTAGTGCGACCCAGGTGTACTGACCTCTGCCGGCCATGCTCCCCACAGACAGTGTGAACCAGGTGCACGACATGGCGCTGCTGGCCGCCTGCGACCACACCGTCATCACCGTGGGCACTTTCGGCCTGTTCTCGGGAATGCTCACAGGGGGCAGCATCGTCGCCGCGTCGCGCCACACCGGCACTCGGGGCGACCCGTTCGACATTCAGGTCAACCCGCCCGGAGACATCGGCCAGGCGTTCCTGTGGAATTAGCGACTGTGCAGTGAGACATGGGTGGTGTCTCTGGTCTCACCGGTGATAGCAGTACGTTGCTATTCCGTTTCGCGAGCTGACGTCACACTTGTGGGGCAATAGGCTTGTTGACGTCATGGAGTAATCCAATTTGACACGTGCAATGGCAGCGTGCTGCTATCATCGGTGAAACACCACCGTGGACAGGAGTGTGCCTGGAAGCGTGTGGAACATGTGATCTTTGTGATGGGGTCCATAGTTTTCGATCTAGTTTGGGTATGAGCGTGGACGGCGAAAACAGGAGCCTGGAGGACATACGAGCCTGCCGACTCGTAGGTGACCATCTTAAGTCACGTCATAAACTACTCCATGTCACGGAATAATATTCGTAGATTGATAATACTCATAGACTCGTCTATGGTCACGTGATCAAAGATGAAGCTTTCCTTCTTCCGTATCATTTGCCTGTGCGATAGAGCTCAGGTCACGTGCTCAACGAGGCAGCTTTTAAGATGTCTAAAAACCTCCCGCGGGCACCTGTATTCACCGTTCACCGGTATCAGGAGGTATTAGTCGGGGCTGGCAGCGCCACCTGTCGATAAGTATTTAAAGTATTTTTGGCTGTCTGACTGAGCTGACATGACCGTTGACACCAATGACGGGCTTTTCATTTCTACACTTTGAGGCTTTGAGCATGAATTGGATTCCGAAGATGACATTAGCGTCATGACCTCTGACGTCACTGATATGCGGTCTGCTGGGCCACTGTAAACCCGATTATTAAGGGAATTTACCAAACTGCTGTTAACCTATGAATAGGTTATGGAAATAACGTTACGGTCCAAGGCGGACATGAGGACAGGTGGCGCCGCCGCCGCTCGCATAGCGGCGGGAATGTGAACTAACCTGTTTACCATAAAGGACTGTGCTAACGGCCGCTGCGGGCGCCGTTTCGGGTTAGTTTTGACTTTGTACCGCAACTAATGGTTTATTTATAATAAAAAATGGACTAGCGAGAGTCGTGCCGGAATCAGAATTCAATGTTCTACAAAACTAAGCCATTTTCATTGTGATCACGTCATAGACTTCACCGCCCAACCCAATAAAGCAGAAATATGTCGTGTGACCGGTGATTACATGCAAGAATTCTTTGGCATATAGCATAAAAACCAGAACACCTTTGACTGCAGCGACTATGCGGTACTACAGAAAATTGTATGGCCTGCCTAATGGTGCCCATTACTTAATAATTAAGTTGAGTATTTCGTCGACTAACTCTTGTAAAACCGTATGTCCGCTTGTCTATGGAGTTTGGACCGTAACGACGAATGTTTCTCGTCCAAGCGACCTATAACAGTCGGCAAATGTGGGTCTGGTATGTACTACTAACATCGTGTATCAATTCAATATGTCGCATATCGTTCCAGTGTGGTATATGTCATATGTATGTGCGTTATTGTTTGAACTTTGAACAATAAGTACTGTGTTCTGAAAACTGTCAATAGGTACTCTTTGATAGGTTCACGCTCTTACTGTACAGATGTGGTGCGCTGCGGGAACCTTTATTTTGTTACACATGGTCACTGCGCTGCATTGCATGCATGCTTAGTGACAGTTTTACTTTGTGTAATGTGCACCGAGATGTCGAATTGTATGGAATGTGGCAACATGACGTCTGCTATGAGTTGGTTTTGCGAATACATTTTGTAAATGGAAACTTAATATAAATCTTCATTAAGTTTCTCCATCAGTATTTCAAGTGTCGGATGTGTGTCATAACCTTTGCGATGAAAGTTAGTTTGGAATGAGTACGTAATTTAAGAATAAAACATTCAATGAATATTGAATAGCGTACAATATTGTATAAGGATGTGATATAATAAATAAATGGATACTGAATAGCGAAGGGAAATCGTTAAATAAAGCAGGCTGCGTTCGGCTGAATGCCCCAGCAGGACGCACGGGTCAAAGGGACCAGCCCTCCTTTTCAGAGGCGGCGAAACACCTTCAATTAACCCTATTAGTGGCAGGCTCCTGGCTACCCCTATTAGTGGCAGGGGGGCTGTTTACGACCCCCCCTGATATCTCGAGATCTAACGGGCCGATTTTCAAAATTCAAACGGCATTCGATTTCGCTCAACGTGATCTACATTTCTAAAAAATAAAAATTAAAAAATGTCAATAAGGGGGTAGAGGGGGGTAAAAACGGGCAAATTGCAGATACATTTTAGACTGTTTATCACGGCCAGGTTTCTGAACCAATCTTAACGCAACTTTTGCCGATCGATAGAGAATGAACCAGGAATTCACATGGATCCTAAAAATATGCATTTTCAAAAATCATAGGCGGATACAGATCATTGAGATTGGGGGTACACAAAAAGTAAAAGTAAAAGTAAAAAGTAAATGAGGTTTTTGTTGATACTGTTTCTAAAAAGGGTGGTAATGGTCTTGTTATGTTACAATTTTCTTATGAGAGAACGACTACAATTGTATTGGTCATGCATAGGCGGTGTCAGGGCACCTATGTTGGGAGGTAAAACATAACCCCCCTTTTTGGACGCCTGGATCCGCTTGTTATAGCAAAAACGTGTCAAAAGAGGATGCACAATAACTTTGTATGTGTTATCACATGATACCTTTCATTCACTGTTCGTAAAACTGGTGCATACAGTTATAATACATCAGCATCGTGATCTTCGCCCAAATGATTTGCTTCACGAATAGGACCCCCCAATTCTCAGTGCTCTGGAGCCGCCCCTGGTAAAGTTATGAAATTGAAATTTTCAGGGAATGTGCCCAATTTAGTTTTAGGAAAAGTCAGAAAATTTCAGCACCGTAGCTTCAGCGGTTTCGGAGATATTCCCGAAAAACCTGAGGGGTGGATGAAAACAACCCCCCCCCTGCCACTAATAGGGTTAAGGGGGGGGGGGGGGGGGCATGCCGACTTTTGGTCTCATTCTTTGCATGCAACGCCCATAGGGCTAACGTTAAAATGACAAAATCAAAGGGGGGCACGGTGCCCCGATTCACGGTGCCCCAGGGCCTCCTCTAAGGAATTTTCACTGGGGGGACCAGAGGCTCAGAAGCCAACTTTAGGGTACCTCCAAATCCGGTTTTCTCATCGGATTTAGGCCACTTATTTTTCGTCACAGTCCTGATGCCATGTTTTTTTTTATTTTGAAAAAAGAAATAGTAGGCCACCTGACCCTATACCGGTGGATCCAGACCGGCACGGGCAGGGTGATGTTCGATACACGCATTCTCGGGTAAACACCACGGCTCAGCTATCTAATGTATTGGTCTATGCACATCGGCTCATTACACGCTAATACCCTGGCTGCCCATCAGGCCGGACCTCTTGTCCGCTAGCCCATCCCAGAGCTCCTCTTGGCGAGCCAACCGCTCAGCCCCGAGCTCCACCCGCCGAGCCACCCGCTCAGCGACTGCCCGCCACCGGCGATGCGCCGCATTATATAGGGGGGCTGGGCGCCCGCCGACCAATCAGCGGCCGCCACGTCACCCACGTCACCAGCCGGCCGGGACTGCAGGTTGCAGCGCCGGCGCACGCTGCCGGCGGCCGATACGAACGGCCGCCGCTCCCCAACACACACCCCCCCCCCCCCTACACAAGAGAGGTGTACGACAGCTCACATTTTACAAGTATGTACAACACTTCGCAACAACACAGTGCACAATACACTACCGCGCCCGCGATTCGCGCAGTTCATAGACTCCCGCCTGACACTGTACAGGGGCAGCCGCGCCGCATTCGGTACGGCGCGGGCGGGCCGAGGGCGGTAGGAGGCGACTCAGGTCTCGCGCCGCGATCTGGGTGGTGCCGCGCGCACCACGCGGTGGCCACCTCTCGCGGCAAACCGCACGTCTGTCCATCGTACGCTTTCAGGTGGTCGTGGTGCCACATCTTGGGTCTACCGACGCCGTCCCGCACTCGGTAGGTGGCTCCTCTTCCTTCTCTTCTTCCGTGGCCCCACGGGCACTTGTGCCGTAGGCCGAACTTTGGCTGCCCTCCAGTTGCCGCTCGGAAGTCGCGCTCGTTACCGGCTACGCGCTCGAAGGGGCGTGTGGCCGGCTTTTTCTGCACCGAGGCCCTTGGAGGTGGGGTGGGTCTTTTCCGCCTCCCCGCTCGTTCATTCTTGCCTCTCAAGTCCAGGGCCCTGCCCCACTCTTCCGGCACCGAGGTGTTGCAAGGCGTCCGACGGCTGAGGCGCTGTCGGGCGTGATTGTGCGGTGGGCTCTCTTCTTGCGCCTTCTGCTTGCCGCTCCACTCCACCGGACTAGCATCCCCTGCGTCGCCGTCGACACCTGGACGGCTGGTGGCGCGTGCTTCTTCACCCGCCACATCGCCAGCCGAGTCGACCTCGCCGCTGGCCTGGGCGGTCTGCCGGTTAGGTTGGCCTGCGATGTCAATGCTGGGCGACCCGCCCTCGCATTGGCTCGTTCCGGACCCGTCGCGCTCGACCGGGTCCCCGCCTGGGGCCACTGGGGCTGGCCAGTGTCGCCACTTGTCCAACCCTGCTGACTTGAAGACGGCCCGAGCGGTACGAGGGCCGCTGCCCGCACGAGGGCCGCTGCCCGCGCGCAAACCTGTGAGCAGCGCCTCACCAAACGGGAGTTCACGGTTCCCGGCTGCTCGCGATGCCCGAGCTCCTCGAGCGGGGGTTGGGATCTTGGCGGAGCCTCGCTGCCCGCCGGCTCTGATCGTATCGTGCACACGAACGACGGTGTAGGAGGGCACCCTTGCTCCTGTCCAGTTGCGCTACAACCCCTCGAGTGTGTGGGCTGCCCTGCCGTAGGGGTACCGCTGAGGGCAGGTGGGTCAGCCACCCTCCGCTGCCACTCACGGTCGCACCCCGCTGCCTGTGTGCCTCCCCGCTGCCAGTGCCCCATGTGTGCCGTTGGGCCCTTCATCGACTGGATATCCGGCGTGCATACGGCCGCAGTCGCCGGGGCAGGCGGGCGTCCCGCCCATCGCTGGCCCCCACGGCCGCACTGGTGACAGAAAGGCGTCCATCCGCCGGCCTCCTCAGACGGACCACGGGGGCGCTCCGCCCACTCCAGGCCCGCCTGCTGATAACCGGGTGTGACGAACCGCCCCACCTGCTCGTTTGCGTGTGTGTGCCGCGCCGGACAGTCACGGACCAAGTGGTCGGGGCTGTTGCAACAGAAACAGCGGCGCCCGCTACCCTGCCTGTTCGGGTTTGGTGGCCCTCGTTGGGGGTTCCTCGCCCCTGTCCCGTGCCCTGTGCGGTAGGCATCCCGCCTTCCCGCCGTCTCAAGAGCCTGCAGTGCGCGCTGCAGCTCCCCAATCATCCTCTCCAGGGCGTCTAGCCGCGCAGTGCCGGGTGCGCCTCGGTCGTGAACCGCCAAAGCCTCGCCCTCGCTGGGCGGGCGCATTGCTCGGAGTGCGTCCTGCTGCTGTCGAAATTTATCGGCGACCTCCACGGCTTCCATGAGGCTGGCCGGGTCCTTCGTCAGCACACGCACTCGCAGCTGCTCCTCACGGAGGCCGCATATGAAGCGGCTGACGACGGTCGCTTCCACGGACGGGTCGCCGGCTTCCGCTCCTGGGTATGCCTCCTGGCCTACCTGACGCACCCTGTCGGCGAAGTCGCGCGTTGCTTCACCGGGCTGCTGCCGGATACTCGCCAGCTCGGCGTGCGCCTGTATCGCCTTCTTCGCTGTGCCGAAACGGGCCTCCAGTGCGGCCACAGTTTGCTTGAGGTTGCTCTGGACCTCCTCCGACAGCGAGGCGAAATAGTCCAGGGCGCCGTCTTGCAGCAGGCTGACCAGGCCCTGCAGCCGATTGTCTTCGGAGAACGCGATCGTTTTCGCCCGAAACCGTCGGTACCACCGACCCCATGATTGATTATTTACCCCCGTGAAATTTTCAAAGTTAGCTAAAAATAAAAGTTCTCTCTCCATGTTACGTTACTCTACTGAGCCGATTCAAAATAAAATAGAAATAAAAAATTTACTTTAACCCTCGCATGTGTAGGGGGGGGGGGGGGCGGATGGACCCCCCCATGGTTTTTCGCGAATAACTCGCGTAAAAAGCGGCCGATCGCGACGAAACTTTCAGTACCCTCGCATTGATCAATTTTACACCTACCCTGAAAATTTCATGACCCTGACCCAAATGACCTTTGACCTGTGACCTCTTTTCCGAGACCATGTTTGGCCGGAATCGCGATTTCGCGTATGTCGGCTCGCACTAGCCGCGTGTTTGCAAGCTTTTCGTGGTTTCAAACGTTCAAACATGTGATTTGATGTTACTCCCGTGTGTGTCAAGGTCACCTGAAGGTCAGGTCAGGTCATTGACCTTTGGTGACCTCGGGTGACCTCGGGTCACTTTTTCGAGTTTTACATGTTTCTAGGCTAGTTTTTTAGCTGAATTCGAATTTAGCAACCATTTGAACATTTACGAAGTAGTTTTGGTGACTTCGTAACATGTTACGAAGCTGTCAGAGGCGGTTGACACGTACTACGAATACCCGTCACGACGCCTACTGGTTGACCTGACCTGACCTGACCCGACCTGGTCTAAATGCTTCAAGACATCATCTGTGATCAAAACTAACACGATATTCGTGATCAGCACCCCGAAAAACCCCTTAGCAGCCACACTTTACGACTTTCTAACAGGTCCCGATTTTCCCGACTTTGGGTCATTGACCTGACCTGGAAGGTCAACCAATGACCTAGGACCTTAAAATTGGGTATCATCGGCTTCCTCTCGTCACGGGCAACACGCTCGTTTTTTTCCCGCGAATCGCTAGCTTGATCAGGGGCCAAACGGCACAGGGCCTCCTCTAAGGAATTTCCACTGGGGGCCAGAGGCTCAGAAGCCAAACCTAAGGTACCCCCAAATCCGGTTTTCTCATCGGATTTAGGCCACTTATTTTTCGTCACAGCCCTGATGCCATGATTTTTATTTTTATTTTGAAAAAAAGAAATAGTAGGCCACCTGACCCTATACCGGTGGATCCAGACCGGCACGGGCAGGGTGACATTTGGGGTAAATATCCCCCGCAGCGTCCGAAATCGACGAAAATTTCCGGCTTTCCAAAAAAATGAAACAAAGTGCCTTTATTAACAAAAAAGTATTAAACGGCACAGCAGTGCGTAAGGAATCTAACCGACCGCAGAAAGTGTGAGGGCTTAGGTATCGATTTCCCAAACGCTGCAAACTAACAGCTACCTGCCTGAAAACAGCTCAGCATCCTAAAAAGCTAGTTGCCTGAAAATGACTCAAGAAACAGCCCACAGGTCAATGAGAATGAGGGTCAGGGAACAGGGCGATTACATTTTCAGGAGTGTGTAGAATTGAAGTAATCACGAGAATACTTCTAAAACTTTTGCCACGCTGGGCCACTTTTTATGCGAGTTATTCGCAAAAAAAAAACTAGGGGTGGGGTCTATCATACCCCTCAATAAGTGAGAGGGCTTATCGCTGCTGGTCCCAAACACTGGATTTTTTATATCGAGCACTCAGCTCAGCCGCACTCTTATTTGACCGTAGAAAAATTTCCTCTTCAAGAATAAACCCGTCTCCCGAAAAAAAAACATAATACTTCTCCGTGTTGAACCGTTGACTGATGATTGAGACTATACACTGTAAAAAATGCTAACAAACCAGTTAGTTAATTCTTCAAGCAAAATCTAGTATTAAAACACACGTTGTTGCAAAAAACGGGTCAGATAACACATATGTTTGCAACCTAACACCACATCCATTTCATCGAAGCAGAAAAGCTAACATCATTGTAAGCCGACAAATATTATCCGTGCAAACCATGCCGTGTTATTTGACACACATGTTTGTTTATGCTTCCTTTGTCTTTTTTCTGGGATAACGTGTTAGCCAACAAATCAAACGCATGTTGTAATTCACAATCTTAGTTTTCTTACTACCCTTTTTGTTGTAGCATTACAAAGACCTTAGTTAACCCGCGCCCTGGTGTGGGTCTGAGCCACCTTCGCCCTGGTGGGGGGGGGGGCCAAAATGACCCCCCCCGTCTAACTCGAAAACGAAGAGGGCTAGGAAGACGCGGAAAAAAGCAAACGAAAGCCCATAACAAGTACGTTCGAAAGTATTTCGGTCATTTTTTCGCTAAGGTCAATATTGAGGTCGCTAGAGGTCATCATAGGTCAAATTTCAGTGTTTTCGGTGTTGCCGGACATATTCCGCTGTAGCTCGGAAACTAGAAGAGCTAGAGAGCCGCGGAAAAAAGCAATCGATAGCTCTTTTCAAGCTCTTTCGCCAAGGTTCGTCAGATTTGACCTCAGCTCAACGGTTTGGCCTACAGAGGTCATGCAAGGTCAACTTGGCAAATTTCGTTGAAAATGTTTTTAACTATAGCATGCATTCACGAGAAAATAGAGAAACGATTCATGCACCATCGTGCTTGGCTCGTCGAGACGCGTCGAATGATATATAGTTTGACCTCGAAAGGTCATTTTGAAAATTTGACCTCAGGTCAAGGTCATGACCTTACCGAAATAGGTCATGCTGCATATCATTCGATCCGCATTGACGAGACAAACACGATAAACGTCGAACGGAGTCTCTATCTCTATTCAATAACAAGTAAGTGCAGAAAAACCGCTGGTGACCTCTGGTGACCAGGGAGATGACCTAGCGTGACCTCAGCGAGGTCACAAGCAAATGGTTTCACATGGGCTGTGATTTGCTGACCCAAGACACTTCAATAACGAAATATAGGAACAATCACGCCCGATTTAGCTGAAAAACAACTACTTTTCGATTCTCCCATTGACTTATAATGGGGAGCAGCGATGACCTGACCTGACCTTAGGTCACATTTATAAAAAATCCGAGATAGCCATTTTGTAGAGCTGGGTGACATCTTCAAGTACTGTAAATTTTACATCGATCGGATAAAAGCTGTGCCTTTGAGAGAGCTTTGAACTTTTTTAGAGGTGGTGTCAGTTTTGGTGACCTTGTGACCTGACCTGACCTGACCCGAACCCCCCAAAAAAGGACATGATGTAAAAATGTTGAATAAACAGCTATACAAAGTTTCAGGGCGCTAACTCAAGTGGTTTCTGAGTTATCGCTGAAAAACCACAGGGGGGGCCAAAATGGCCCCCCCCCCCACCAGGGCGAAGGTTAATTGAAAAAATCGCCATTTTGTGCGCCCCTCTGCGCCCGCCATGTTCAGTCTGTGCCAAGTCAGAGAAGGGAGAGAATCAGAATCAGAATCAGAATATATTTCATAACGAATCCATCGAATATGGTTTTTCATCGTCACACGTCAAAGGTTGAAAACATACGAGGTAAAATACATTCAGGCCAATACAATACACCGCGATACTTGATCAGGTCAGCCATACAGTTCTCTGAGTAGGTAGCGTCTCAGGGTTGATTTGAAGTGGCGAGTGTTTGTGTCGAATGGCAGCTGGTTGTACTGCTGGACAGCACCGTAGCTGAGACGCCTGCGACCCGACTCAGAGTGTATCCTCGGTAGCGTGCGCTGAGAGGAGCCTCTCGTCTGATACACGTGGTCTCTACTGGGGCCGATGCACATAGCGATGCATTCGGGACTACCGGTCGTGATTGCAGCATGGGTGAGACACAGTCGGTGATACGTGACAAGGCCACGCGCGTGTAACCAGTTCAGGTCACGGAGAACGTCCGCTACATGGTCGTGTTTACGCCGGCCGCTAACCACTCTGGCACCAAAGTTTAGGAGCTTCTGTACTCTATGTAGCTGCGTTGCATTACATGTACCGTAAACCGAGATGCAGTATCTAATGATTGATGTCACAAGAGCCTGCACGATCGTCACGACAGCACTTTTCGGAACTACATGTTTGGCATGCATCATACCAAGAAGAATGCCCGTGCACTTTGATGTTACATGGTCCACATGCGACTGGAAGCTCAGATAATTGTCCATGATGACACCCAAGTTCTTCACTACTCTAGAGTCGGGTATGGTGGTTCCTAGGAAGTCTAGTGCCACTGGCGGTAAACCTCTCAGCATAGCGGGTGTACCGAGCACAAGTGCCTGGGTTTTGGACGCGTTTAGTTTCATCCCGTTTGAACAAAACCAGTCGTACACACTGACAAGGGCCTGCTCCATGCGGACAATTAAAGCAGGCAGCTCACTTTTCTTGCCGCTGACAAGCAACTGTGTGTCGTCCGCGTATTGTACCACTCGGACCCCGTCGGGCACAAACAAACTGAGCTCGTTCGTGAAGATGGTGTACAAGACACAGCTGAGCGAGCCGCCCTGGAAGACCCCGATGGAGTTAGGCTTAGCAGCGGAACACATGGGAGTGCCGTCACCACCGATCACTTGCACTTGCTGAGTGTGGCCGCGCAAATAGTCTCCGAACCACTCTGTGTCTACGCCATACAGCGCCAGCTTATCGAGTAGTCTGGCGTGCGGTACCACATCGAAGCACTTCGATAGGTCAAGTAGCACGAGCACAGATATCTCGCGACAGTCCATAGCGCAGAGGACGTGTTCGGTGATGACGCTGAGAGCGGTCTCCGTGCTGTGACCCTTCCGGTATCCGTGCTGGGCGCTGGAGAGCAGCTTGTTGGTCTCCAGATACTGAGTGAGCTGGAGCTGCACTACTCTCTCAGTAATCTTCATCACTCCCGGCAGAATCGAGATTGGGCGGGTGTTGGCTGGAGCTGAAGGTCCTTTCCCCTTCGGGATTGGCGTGACAAGCGCGTGTTTCCACGCCGCCGGCACCTGACAGGTCACCAGGCTCGTGTTGATCATGTCGAGCAGAATCTGTCCAGTACCCCAGAAGTATCTCCTGAACATGTCGACACTGATCCCGTCAAGTCCGGTTGCTCTAGACGGCTTCATGGACCACAGGACCAGACACAGCGTGTCAAGATCGATGGGCTGTGGCCGGAACCCACTTGTCGTCACTCGTGGCAGGCGGACGGGCACCGGTGCAGCAGGTCTCGGGACGCTGGCGGCAGTGGTAGGGCCAATGCTGACATAATAGTCGTTGAGTGCATCAGGGGTAGCACTGGGCACGGCAGTTTCCTTCTTACTGCCAATGATAGGCCGCAGCACGCGCCAGACGCTGCCCGGCCCCGCCTTGTCCAGTTCGCGCTGATAGTGGGCAGTCTGGTCTCGCCGTATCGCTCCGCGGCACTGGCGGTTCAGCTCCTTGTAGCGGTCGCGCTGTCCGCCTGCCTGGAGCGCCTGTCTCCGCTCGGCTAGCAGCTGGCGGGTGTCAGCCGTCAGGGGCGGCGCGCCGGGTGGCGACAGCCGCACTCGGGTGACCGGGGCCACCCCGTCGAGCTGCGAGAGGAATATCGCGCGAAATTCCTCCCACTTGTCGGCAGGTCGCTCGCGCAAGAGCACAGGACTCCAGTCCGCTTCGGAGAGCTGCAGATTAAACTGCTCAGAGTCGACTTTCTGCAGGCATCTCCGCTGGACAGTCGGTCGGGACGGTCGCACCGCTCCACCGCAGCGCAGCACCAGCCGTGTGAAGTCGTGCGGGGTGCCGTACTGGCAGCGGGTCACCCCAGCACGTGTCACCAGGTCGGGCCGGCTGGTTGCGATGACGTCAAGTAGTGAGTTGGCTGGTCGGTAAGTCGGGTGCTCGGTGTTGGCGATCCGCAGGCCGTACGTGGTCAGCAGGCGAGTCAGCCGGTGGCCGGGCGAGTCAGCAGCAGGCTTCAGCAGGCAGCAGTTCAGGTCACCGGCTAACACCAGTGTAGCGCCGGGGTGACTCGCAACCATATGTTGCACCTGACCTTCTATGTCCTCTAGGTCTGACGTCACTTGTGCTGCTGAATTCCGCGGCACACGGTACACGCTGGCGAACAAAATACCACGGTGGTTTCCTACGAACACTTTGGCCCACAGTATCTCGATATTAGAGTTCGGCACTCCGGTCACTGGCGTAGGTATAACCTCCACTCGGTGCGTTTCACGGACCAACAGAGCTACACCACCGCGGCCGCTGGCTAGACCGCGACCGTCCTGTCGGTCACTCCTATACAGCCGGTAGCCACTGACCGTCAGGAGACGGTTCGGAACGTTAGGGGACAGCCAGGTTTCACATAGGACAAGCACATCAAAACCATACACATCACATATGTCAGTGCGCAAGTCGGGCAGCTTAGGTTTAAGTGATTGAACGTTGAGCTGCCCCACCATCACAGAGCTTGCGGTGTAGTCACCGTGTCGGTGCCAGGTCACTCCTCCCCTCCTCCGCCGCGGTCGAGTCCTCTTCTGTCCTCCCCTCCGACCCCGCCTCCGCGCCCGTGCTGGGACGGGAGTGGCAGCCGGGCAGTACGTAGGTGAGCCGGGCGCACCGGGTCGGCCAGCGCCGGCCGCCAGACCGGGTCGCGGCAGGGGCGAGCCGGCGCCGCCGGTCAGCGGGGCAGAGCGGGGCGAACGCTCCGGGTAGAGGCCGGCGTCCGAGTCCGTAGTATGAGTCGGTGGTCGGATCAAGTCGGGGCGCCGCACACCAGCGGCAGCGACACGTTCAAGGTCACGCCCCGCGGCGACACGGTCAAGGTCACGGTCGGCGGCCGGCGCTGAGCGGCCGGCGCGCACAGCACGACGCCACGGATCGGCGGCCGGCAGAGCGGCGACACACACAGTCTGGATAGCATACAAAAACGCGATAGAGTACATGACGTCGAAATACGAGATGCGGAGCAACGAAGTGATATACGGTACGGCACTCATGGTGGTGAAGACGGAGGTCTCGGAGTGGCGTCGCGGTGTCACGGTAAGTCGTCACGTAAAGGGTCCGGAGTTGCAGACTGCCGAGTGACGATGGCGCTGTCGCTGATGTAACTAGTTGCGGTTCCGCGGCGGCAGAAACCACAGGTAGTTACTGACACTGATCGTGCTCGTGTGCGTTGTGGTGTGGTATATAAAGGAGCTGCTGTGGCGTATAAGTGTTGCGTGGCATAAGGAGCTGGTGTGGTGTTAAATGAAGTCAGACAGTGAAATGATATGGATTATTGGACATGGATTTCATCCTTATTCGTATGGTGAGTGATTATGGTGAAGATGAGTGCAGGCATTGCTGGCGTTTCAGTTTCTCAGGGTGGAGGCACTGTTCATTGGTTGATTGTCAATTGATTTCTATAAGTATTTATGACCGACTGAAGAATGAACATATTGCAGGTTAAAGGAAGGGTGCCACCTTCCGAAATTTTTGTTCTATGAATCTATTTTACTTATTTGAATTTTTAGACGTGGTTAGCGCGTCCACAATATACACAAAACCGAAACATTGCATTTAATACATTGGCCAAAAAAAAAAAAGATCGTTGTTTATATCACCACTACAACTCAAGGTCGTTTGATGTGGCAGCTAGGACGGCTGGCATATCCTGTTGTCATGGCAACATATCATTCTGCCATTTGCATTGATGGCGCAACTGAGACAAAAAGATGAACAAATAAAAAGGAAGAAGATAACATGATTTGAACTAAGTTGTAGGTAACCAAGTAGGTAACTGTTGGCCATATTTGCCAACAGTTAAAGAACATCAAATAAGTCGAGTAAAGGTTTTTCCTTTACAATGCTTAAGAGATCTATGGAACCCTTCACCCTTCATGCAACTTACTAGAAAAACTTCCCAATTAAAATTTTAAAACTTAAGTGTATACCATAAAGAAAAAATATACCCTTTCAAAATGATAAAACATGCTTCAAAAGTATAACTTTTATACATACCTTTGCTGATTTCATGTTTTATAAAATACCCTTAACACGACGAGGAAATAGTGCTGAAGATTTTTGCCTGCCCGAATGCTGGCAGCAAAACTCGCAAATGATAACTTCACGTGCGGATTCAATGCTGACCGTCTCGAGCATAGGTAAGTGAAGCCGGTTTTTAGGTTCATGTGAGGCTAATCTTGTAAAAACTGCGTTGTGTCCAAAAGGTGGCACTCTTCCTTTAACCCGCGCCCGGCTGGGGGTCCTGGATTTCCACGCCCTGCTGGGGGGGGGGGGTGTTTGAACACCCCCCCCCCCCTTGTAACTCGGCTCCTGGGCCACGTAGCGATACGCGGAAGGCGGCGTTCGAAAGAGCGTCAAAAATAATGATGAAATCACTTTGGTCAATTTTTTGGTCAGGTCAAAGGTCAGGTCACCAGAGGTCATTGAAGGCAAAATTTCGCCGATTTCCAGGTCGAATGTCGAAAATTTCCAAGAAGCCAACGCATAACTCGGGAACCAATAGAGCTACAGCGCCGCGGAAAAGCGCATTCGATAGCCCTATTAACGCCCTTTCTGAGTAATTCTCTCAGATTTGATCTACCGTCAACGGTTTTGCCTGCAGGGGGCAAAAACTGCAAAAATAGCCGATTTTTTCGGAAACCGTTTTTCTGCAATAACTTTTGACCCAAGCCTTGTACGAGCTTACTTTTACCAGCATCGTGTTCCTCTCGTCAAGACGCATCGAATGAACTATAACTTGACCTTGAAAGGTCAACTTGAAAATTTGACCTCAGGTCAAGGTCATGACCTGACCGGAAAGGGTCATGTTGCATATCAGTCGATCCGTATCGTCTAGCTGAACACATCTAAGGCGTTTTCATCGCTCTAGCATGCCTCTATCAAAAGTTATTTGCGAAAAACTGTTAGATACCATTCGTGACCTAAGATGACCTCAGGGCATAAACAAGGGTCACGGACACCATTTTTATGTTCAGTGTGTCTACACCACTTGTAATTCGGTGTTTGGGAGTGTTTATAATGTCTTTCGTCCAAAAGAGGCGCATTTCAATTTTCTCCCATTGACTTATAATGGGGAGGTCGCAAAATTGACCTGACCTTAGGTCATCGATATAAAAATTCTGAGATATACATTTTGTACATGCTATTGCTCTTAGCAATCGCTGAAAGTTTCAAAGCGATCGGTCACTCGGTGTAGCTATGACAGACATTGAAACTTTTTATGAGGTGAGGTCACTTCAAGTGACCTGGTGACCTGACCTTGAATGACCGTGGTCTGAAATTTTCACAACATGTGTAGAATCGATGTATGATAAGGTGTACCAAAAACGGCGGCGCTCCGCGCCGCCGTTTTTGAGATATTCGCGAAAAACCACAAGGGGGGGTGTTCAAACACCCCCCCCAGCAGGGCGCGGGTTAACCCGCGCACCGACGGGGGGGGCGAATATCCGCCCCCCCCCTGAGGTTTTTCGCGAATAGCGGGAAAACCGCGGCGCTACGCGCCGCGAAATTTGGTATGACTGTTCCCTTATCAATTTTACACATGGTGTGCAAGTTTGAACCTCCTACCTTTCAAGGTCAGGTCACCAGGTCACTTTGAATGACCCAACCTCAAGTCACTTTTTTGCAACTTTGTCACCGTGCCAGAGCTACAGTAGATGTCGGAGGCCTTTGAAAGTCGCAGGATGTTATTAGGTCATTAGTAGCTACAATTTGTATATCTCGGAATTTTGATATCGGTGACCTAAGGTCAGGTCAATTTCGCGACCTCCCCATTATAAGTCAATGGGGGAAAAATCAACTCCCTGTGTTTACCACTAAAACGGGTCGGAATGGCCCCATATACCATACATGACTTCATATACGATGAACCTTCACTACCTTGAGGTCTGTTTTGCTGTTGGGCAGCTGTGAGGTCATGTGACGTCATCAAAGGTCACCAAAGGTTTTTGGCCAATAACTCCGTACAGGAACAAGATACAGACGCGTGGATGGTCTCATTGTGTTCAGCTCGTCAAGACACATCGAATGATATACATGATGACCTCGGGGTCACGTGACCTGAGGTCAACCTTTGACCTTGACCTTTCGAGGTCAACATATATATCATTCGATGCGGATTGACGAGAGGATCACGATGATGCCCTTAGTTTGTTCCTATCTTGACTAATTCGAAAGTTATTCGAGAAAAACTCTCTCCATATTTAGCACCGCCATTTTGACTTTTTCGACCCCTGTGACGTCATCTTTGACCTGACCTGAAAATGACCTTAGTAAAAATTGTAGATCTTGACCGTGCGTATCCGATGCCGTTTACCGCTTGTCGCTATCTTGCTTCGTTCTCGAGATCTCAGGGGGGGCGGTCATCCGCCCCCCCCCCCGTCGGTACTAAGTTGGCGCAGACCCCCGTCGGTGCGCGGGTTAAGACTGCATTTAACTTTAAACAATAAATTAAATGTACCTAATAGTTCATTGGGCACTCAGGCAGTGCACGCGGTGCGGTGCTGATTTATGTGATGTCCACTGCATCAGTGCATCACATCACAGACTGGTTTATGTCCACTGCATCTATATGTTGTCAAAGAAAATTGTGTAGGTATATGAGCCACGATTGTTCGGTCAGAGAATTTTTGCCTTTTTGTTGCAGTTTCATTTACCTCTACGACAGAAATAAAGCTTTTTAAATGTTCTAATACGTATTTGGAGACTGTTTGGTGCAATGGCTGGTGCGGATTTACAGGCGGGGGTGGTCGTAGAATCAGACCCTGACCCTTGATCGTTTATATATAGCTTAGAACGTAACTTTAGAACGGAGCGCCTTTGCCGCTCGGCAGTTTCCTACAGAAGATTACTTTTTTAGGTTCATTTTTAGTACAATAGAGAAATATTACTGTATGCAGTTGTAAGCTTGCTGAAAGGAGCTTGAATGCAGTTTTGAATAAACATGTTTGATGAGTTTAATTCGATTCGTTTTTTTTGGGGGGGGGCGGCTGTGAAAAGAGGTGACTAACACGCACATTAGTTAAGTTACACGCCT